AGAGAGCAGCAGTGAGCGGTCTTTATTACAGGAGGGGGCGGAGACAAGACCAGTCACCCTGCACAAGAAGAGAGCAGCATAGAGTGGTCTTTATTATAGGAGGGGGCGGAGACAAGACCAGTCACTCTGCACAAGGAGAGAGAGCAGCAGTGAGCGGTCTTTATTACAGGAGGGGGCGGAGACAAGACCAGTCACCCTGCACAAGGAGAGAGAGCAGCAGTGAGCGGTCTTTATTACAGGAGGGGGCGGAGACAAGACCAGTCACCCTGCACAAGGAGAGAGAGCAGCAGTGAGCGGTCTTTATTACAGGAGGGGGCGGAGACAAGACCAGTCACCCTGCACAAGGAGAGAGAGCAGCAGTGAGCGGTCTTTATTACAGGAAGCTCCGAGTCTCACTACACTACAATGTAGTTTGTTACAAATTGTTTATCTCCTATATACTGGTGTATATATGTGTACTTCCTGTGTGTTTAGCTGTCGGTCCCTTTAAGGCCCCCGGAGACCAGGGACAGCCCCCGTTGTATTGATCGGATGGTCCGGAGTTCCCAGTTCAGAGGCTCAGAATGTTTCCAGCACAGATGTGAAAATGGACAAGACGATGATTCACAGAATGTGCGCGGCTGGGACAGCGACGGACGCACGCGGAGGCCATCGTACCAGCATCGGGTGGCTGTGCAGCAATGCGATGACGGAATCTCTCTCCATTCCTTCCGCCAGTCCGGTGATATTCAGGGTCTGCAAACGAGGAGGAAACAGCAAAATCAGTCACATGACCGCCAACCTCCATTTACAGGGAACCTCGGATGGTTTTGGGTCACCTGGATTCTTTTTAGGGATTTTAAAGTGAAGATTTTGTATCTTTTTTTAAGCAATTTGTATACAATTTTCATTGATCAAATAAACCCCAGACTGGAAACGCATTGCGCAGCAGCGTTCCCTATCCACAATGTCACCGGGAGCGCGCGCCCCTTATTCATTTATTACAGGTATTTATAGAGCGCTGACAATTTTACACAGTGCTTTACATAGTTGCACATTCACATCAGTCCCTAATATTGAGGAGCTTACAATCTAAGGTCCCTATCTCACATGCATACATAGAGGGCCTACTTAGAGAGGAGCAAATTAACCTTCCAGCGTGACTTTGGAGTGTGGGGAGGAAACCGGAGTACCCGGAGGGAACCCACGCAAGCATGCAGAGAACATGCAAACTCCATGCAGATAGTGACATGGCCGGGATTTGAACCGGGGACCCCCAGTGCTGCAAGGCAGAAGCGCTAACCACTCCGCCACTGTGCTGCTTACCGAGGGAACGGACCAGCCGAATTCCTGCTCCGTCACACCCGTAATGAGTCGCCCCTGCCCCCCCCCCCACACACACACCTCCTTATATGCTGTGATATTTGTGCGACACAGAAATCCTGCACACATAACTAAATGCTGACTTCCTGTGCTCCCCCGCTCCATCTAGTGGCCATAATGAAGTATTACATTACATTTGAAAGAAAATATGCCAAGAACATTCGTTTTTGCCTCTTTTTGCCCAGAACAAAGGATCCAGAGATCCCCCCCCCAAACACACCTCCTTATATGCTGTGATATTTGTGCGACACAGAAATCCTGCACACATAACTAAATGCTGACTTCCTGTGCTCCCCCGCTCCATCTAGTGGCCATAATGAAGTATTACATTACATTTGAAAGAAAATATGCCAAGAACATTCGTTTTTGCCTCTTTTTGCCCAGAACAAAGGATCCAGAGATCCACAGGACGAATGGCTCTGTATATTGTTCATATATATAGACCCCGTAGTGGGTTTGCAGCTACGTTGTAACCAGCCTGAGCTTGGTTCATGTTATCTGTGATCACTAGGTGTCTCCTAACCTCAGGACATTGATTATTTCTGCCTGCTGATGTTGAGCGGTCTCCAGTAATTACTGGGAGAGGCAATGGTGTATTGTGTATGTCTGTCTTGGCCAATCACTGGGGCTTTTATCCCAGTGATGTGAGCTGAGGTTGATGAGTGGGGTGGATAAATATTTGGAGCAACCTTTCAGAAGGGTCCCTGGCTTCTCAGGTTGCTGCCTGGAGAGGATGTCATTGTGGGGGCCTGGTCCTAACCCTCAGGAATCTAAGCTGGTCTGCGTCAGGGCCCTGGAGAATCAGGAAGATGGCCGCCTGTTGGAGCATCTTCAGAAGAGTCTGCTATGCTGCTGAAGAATGTCCAGGAGAGCATGGGGGAAGCTACTGCCAGATGGACATTGCATGGAGACTTCACTGCTCACCTGTATTAGGTACCTGTGACTACTTGCACGGGGTTAGAGGACAATGTGCATTGGGAGGCGACTGAGATATCTAGGGCCACGAATCTGAGACATCATCCATTTGTCTTGCTGACATGAGAAGTCCTTATATTTTGCTGTTTTGGGGTTCTCTGTGCCCCTATGCCTCTCTCATGTAACTGAGCAAATAACCTATATAACCTCCAAAGTGTCTGAAGCCTTATTGTTGCCATTGGCGGGTCAGTGCCTGGTCCGGTGCAGCTACAAAGCAGGTGACTACTAGCAAAGGTAAGGGAGGCCCATCATGTACCAGCAGCTCCTGCTACCATAGAATGCATTGGAGTCAATGGGGAGGGCGCAATGGGCTTTAAATGTCTCCTGAGGGTTAATGAAACTCCCTTCCCTTCATCCTGAACCTGTTCTTGCGCCACAAAAATGGCCCCTCGTTGGCTGTGAACATGACAACAGATGTTGAGGAACGGAGAAACCCCGCCCTTTGTTTAACTAAAACAAGTGATGTGATCGGCACGGATCACGAGGGTTCGCTAGAAAACAACTCTATGTGATTTTGTCTCTGTGCGGTCCAGCAAATTTTACCTAATCAGCACACATGGTGACATTCGAGACTCAATCCGCAGTTACGCCGTGCAATCACTCTGCTCATCCCTCGTCACCCATTTACAAAGACTAAAAAAGAACGGATGAAGCTGCGCTGCTGGAACTATAACTATAATATATTAATACCTAGAGCAGCTGTATGTGAAAGGAGAAGGTATCCTTAGATTGAACGAGAGGGTGGTGTTACAGCGCTAAGCCCTCGTTCACACCTGAACGTTTTGTAGCGCGTTCTACGCTCGACGAACGCCCTACAAAACGCTCAAACATCTAAATCCCATTGTATTCAATGGGTCTGGTTCCCACCTCGGCGTATTTCCGCCCGTCCCTAACGCGCTACAAAACGGCCCGCGCCTGGAAAGGTCCAGGTACTACTTTGGGCCGTTTTGTTGCGCGTTTCCATTGGGATACAGCCAAGTAGCCATCGGAAACGCGCGTCTGTCGCGCAACTTTTTTACTGCGAACAGGGGTTAAAAAACGCGCGACAGACGCGCATAGGCAGTACGCCTAGGTGTGAACGAGACCTGAAGGTTAAACTAACGAGAAGTGTACTCTACCTAGTGTCTTTTTTTGTGGAAAAAAAAATATAAGACACTGTCTTATTTTCGGGGAAACGCGGTACTAGCAAGTCCAATGAAATGCTATAGATTGTTTGATTATCTTATCCTTTTGGTGTTCCAATGTATTATTTTCTTTTCCTATGGTGACTCACTCATTTTTAGTATCAGATTTGATACTTGTTCAAATTAACGGATGCCTAGCTTTTTTTGATTTACTTGCTGATTGGTTGTCAATCAGAATCAATTAGTAGAACACATATATACCAGCGTCCACCCCATTACCTGACATCTGCCTTTTTTTGAGAAAGTCACATGACGAAACGCGTCAAAAAAGGCAGAGTCATTTGCACACGAGGAGTCTACATAGCGGTTCTTGAGCTGTCTTACCGGCCGGACCTCCTGTATTTTATATGCGAGTTACTATATGTTTTCATAAACCCGTATGCTTCTACCTACTTCACCATGAGGGCTCTTTTCTTCTTGATTCCTAAACACTGCGCGGATCCCCGAGAGATAGTTCGCTGACAGCGCATCTCGCAGAAATGATCTTTGTGTATGCGGGACATCTCCAGCACCGCATCGGATACACTCCCTCCCGGCTAAGCTTCAACGCGGGAAGAACTGAGTTTTTAATTGGTACAAGATCGTGGACCTGTTTGCCGTTAATCCAAAAATGTGTTTACTTCATTCTGGTGAGTACCCGTCCACAAGGGGGCTGCTGATCGAACTCAATAAGACCAATAGTACCCACCTTGTGTTTTCTCTTCTGACTTTTAGACATCATCTATTGAACAACAACAATTTTTTCCTATCCTCCGATACCTTTTTTTTTTCTCGCAAGAATACCGTTAATTGATTGATAAAACTTTTTGTTTGTTTTTCACTGTGTGGCTATCGGGATCTTTTTTCGATCATTTAATGTAACATTTTCACCATTATTTGTTATTATTCCAACTTGTCACGTTCTTCCACACACGTGCTATTATTAGCTTTCCGTTTTTTTTTTCTTTGTGAATATTTAGCATCTTAGCTGTTATCATTTTATTTCTTTGCTACATAATTCTTCACAGGCGGTGTTAAACTCACAGTTCCTTTTATACACTTTTTAAGGAACACTTGATGATTTTTATGTGAATATTTAAACTATATCACTGATTACACTTCTCGTTAGTTTAACCTTTAGCGCTGTAACACCACCCTCTCGTTCAATTTACAAAGACTCTCCGCTATATTTTGCCCAAAATTGACTTCATGCTGAAGCAGGTGTAATGTGTTACTTCCAGTGGGAGGACGTGTCCTCGAGGTGCCATCATTGGCTTTCCATTATTGACCTTTTTATCATTTACTTATCTATCTTTTATATAATAAATGGAAATATTCAGCCGTTCGCTGTGGTTATGTCCTGGAATATATATATAATATAATATATAATATGTGTCTGTACAATGCGGAGACAAGGAAGGTGAGGATATGTTACCATCGCAGCGCCTATGGAAAGGATTTCCTCCTCAGATTTTGCCTTCAGACAATCCAGCAATGACGCCGTATCACAGCCAGACACGTTGGCGATTATCTGCAACAACAAGATGGCTTCTGATTACAGGACGGCCGAGGCTCAGCAAGGTGTGATGTCCCCCCTGACACCCCTCTCTGTGGCCTGGACACCAGCTTACTCCTCATCTCTATCCTCTCTTCCCTCCTCCTCATCTCTATTACTACTGACCCCTGCGCTCTGCATTACATACTACTGACCCCCTGCGCTCTGCATTACATACTACTGACCCCTGCCCTCTACACTCTGTTACTTACTACTGACCCCCGCACTCTGTGTTACATACTACTGACCACCGCACTCTGTGTAACATACTACTGACCCCCGCACTCTGTGTTACATACTACTGACCCCTGCACTCTGTGTTACATACTACTGACCCCTGCACTCTGTGTTACATACTACTAACCCCCGCACTCTGTGTTACATACTACTGACCCCCGCACTCTGTGTTACATACTACTGACTCATACTACTGACCCCCGCACTCTGTGTTACATACTACTGACCCCTGCACTCCGTGTTACATACTACTGACCCCTGCACTCCGTGTTACATACTACTGACCCCTGCACTCCGTGTTACATACTACTGACCCCTGCACTCTGTGTTACATACTACTGACCCCTGCACTCTGTGTTACATACTACTGACCCCTGCACTCTGTGTTACATACTACTGACCTCTGCACTCTGTGTTACATACTACTGACCCCTGCAATCTGTGTTACATACTACTGACCCCAACGCTCTGCATTACATACTACTGACCTCTGCACTCTGTGTTACATACTACTGACCCCTGCACTCTGTGTTACATACTACTCACCCCTGAACTCTGCATTACATACTACTGCCCCCTGCCCTCTGCATTACATACTACTGACCCCTGCGCTCTGCATTACATACTACTGACCCCTGCGCTCTGCATTACATACTACTAACCCCTGCATTACATACTACTGACCCCTGCCCTCTACACTCTGTGTTACTTACTACTGACCCCTGCGCCCTGTACGATAGAGATACATATATACTACTGACCCCTGAACTCTTCAAGCCTGTCCTAGCATTTAACAAGCCTTGCTAGATAATCTATGTACACGTGTTGTACCCCGGTGACCTTGGATCTCTTCCATGTAATTCCGGTGGATCTCCTCTCCGGGGTTGCTGACCCCTGCACTCTGTGTTACATACTACTGACCCCTGCACTCTATGTTACAAACTACTGACCCCCGCACTCTATGTTACAAACTACTGACCCCCGCACTCTGTGTTACATACTACTGACCCCTGCACTCTGTGTTACACACTACTGACCCCTGCACTCTGTGTTACATACTACTGACCCCCGCACTCTATGTTACAAACTACTGACCCCCGCACTCTGTGTTACATACTACTGACCCCCGCACTCTGTGTTACATACTACTGACCCCCGCACTCTGTGTTACATACTACTGACCCCTGCACTCTATGCTACAAACTACTGACCCCCGCACTCTGTGTTACATACTACTGACCGCCGCACTCTGTGTTACATACTACTGACCCCTGCACTCTGTGTTACATACTACTGACCCCCGCACTCTGTGTTACATACTACTGACCCCTGCCCTCTGTCTTACATACTACTGACCCCTGCACTCTGTGTTACATACTACTAACCCCTGCACTCTGTGTTACATACTACTGACCCCTGCACTCTGTGTTACATACTACTGACCCCTGCGCTAGATAATGTCTTTCCAAGAACAGCCAGAACTTACATTCCGCACAAAGTTGATCTCCCCGACAGACCTGGCGATCAGCCCCGGCATAATGGCCACCCCGCTCTCGGCGATGGCTCGGTGGAACAAGCCCTTGGCTAGTGGGGACAGGACCTGTCAGAGGAAGTCAGGGAGAGATTAGATACAATGTATCACGCTCCGGAAACAGTATATTCAAGAGAACCTGTCAGCACAGAAATATGAGAACTGACATCGGTGACTTGTCTGTAAAGTGCTCCAGGGCTGTCATTCTCATCCTTGCTTCATTCTGGTAAGGAGAGATATATGGGGGCGTGGCTACTGACCTCCTGAGGAAAATGCTCGTTTCCTGGCTGTCTGTGGTCTTGATACTTTGAGAAGCTGCCCTGGACTTGGGATATTTGGGCTGAGACAAAGGTTGGCTGCGTGTGGTCAGGACTTACCAATGCGGAGACGCTGACCCCACCAGCGGACTCCCCGAATATGGTGACGGAGTCGGGGTCCCCCCCGAAATCCGCAATGTTCTCCTTCACCCAGCGCAGCGCCTCCACCTGATCCAGGAATCCGTAGTTCCCCGCAGCTTGGCTGTCCCCGGAGCTACGGCAAACAAATGTTCCAGAGATCATGTGACAAGTCTATAACCAATGGTCTTCACCCCAAATTTACAGTCTCCTCCTCCACTCTTTACGGGAGTCAAGCAAATGAGGAGAATAGCGGAGGTGATAGTTCTACCCCGGGGGCCACTTACCTGCCGGTGCTCCGAGGGGATGAACATTACAATTCTAGAAGTCAACTTGTCACAAGAAGCCTAAAAAAATCCCACCGGTCATGTGATGGAAAATACACGAAAAGTTTCCTTTACCAAAAAATGACATCACAAAGTGCAATGCAAAGCGTGGGATGCCGCGGTGTAACGCACGCCGCCACTGGACTCTAGAGAAGAGGAGGCGTGTTCTCTGGAGCGACCAATCACGCTTCTTTGCCTGGCAATCCGATGGGCGTGTCTGGGTTTGGCGGTTGCCCCAGGAGAACGGTACTTGCCTGGCACTGCATTGTGCCAAGTGTAAAGTTTGGTGGGGGGCGGGATTATGGGGGGTTGTTTTTCGGGGGTTGGCTCCGCCCCTTAGTTCCAGTGAAGGGAACTCTTAAGACATCAGCACACCAAGACATTTTGGACAACTTTGTGGGAGGAGTTTGGGGACGGCCCCTTCCTGTTCCAACATGACTGCGCACCAGTGCACAAAGCAAGGTCCATAAAGACACGGATGGGGGAGTTTGGAGGGGAGGAACGTGACTGACCGCACAGAGTCCTGACCTCACCCCCATAGAACACCTTTGGGATGAATTAGAGCGGAGACTGCGAGCCCCTCCCCCAACATCAGTACCTGACCTCACAAATGGTCCAACATTCCCATAGACACACCCCTAAACCTTGTGGACGCCTTCCCAGAAGAGGCGGAGCTGTTATAGCGGCAAAGGGCGGAGCCAACCCAATACTGAACCCTACGGACTAAGACTGGGGGGCCATTAGAGGGCGGAGCCAACCCAATACTGAACCCTACGGACTAAGACTGGGATGCCATTAGAGGGCGGAGCCAACCCAATACTGAACCCTACGGACTAAGACTGGGATGCCATTAGAGGGCGGAGCCAACCCAATACTGAACCCTACGGACTAAGACTGGGATGCCATTAGAGGGCGGAGCCAACCCAATACTGAACTCTACGGACTAAGACTGGGATGCCATTAGAGGGCGGAGTCAACCCAATACTGATCCCTACGGACTAAGACTGGGGGGCCATTAGAGTTCATGTGCGTGTAAAGGCGTCCCAATACTTTTGGCAATATAGTGTAGGAGCGCGCAGCTGTGTGTGCTCTTTGTTCCCTGGCTGCGCTTTGCTCTGACTCATGATAAAAATTGAGCAATCATCACGGTTCCTGATTATTGTTATCACTGCGACAGCCAATCACAACAAAAAAGTAAATAAAGAAATAAAACAGTTGAGATAAAATAAAAGGATAAAAATATGATAAAGTAATAAAAAAATAATAATAATTACCGTAAAACAATAAAATGTACATTATAGATGGAGCCAAGGATCTTGGGAAATGTGATGGGGGGATGGGAAGTTCTGACCAAGGGGAGGGCAAGAGGAGGCGGAGCCAAACTTGACTTATAAAGGTAAAGTCCAGATCTACCTATCTCCGGATCGCCTGATTTGAGAGCCGTGTGTGTGGCGGCTTTACCTGAAGAAGCCCAGAATCCCCAGCCGGTACTGGATGGAAACAACTATGACATTTTCGTAGGCGCTCAGGGCGGAACCCTCAAACATCGTGGCTCCTCCCATAACTAATCCGCCTCCGTGAATGAACACCATGACCTGGAGAGAGAAAACCAATAAAAGATCACTGAGCCTCCTGTCCTCCCCGCCGGTCCCACCCAAAGGCTTCCCCCACATCCGTTCACATGCACCAGAGCTGCACACATGGCGACATTAGCGGGAACCAAACGGTGAGCTGACCCCCTGAATCGGGTGCACCGCCGCAGTGGCCTATCTGTGCCATAATACCACCATCAGCTGGGACTGGAAACGGCCATTTTTAGACCGAACCAAAATGTATAAAATTACAAATGAAAAAACTATAAAGTTTGTATTAAAGAGCACCTGTCATGATAGAACTATAAAGGCTGCCGTTGTTGGCCTCCTTGTGAAAATGTGAGGTGCCTGGCCGTGTCCGTCACAGATCCGGAACAAACGTGCACACTTAGTCCTTACCATTGACACTCAAGGTCAAGTACTAAAGCATCACATGACATCCAGGCCCCTCGCATCCTCAGGCAGGGAGCCCTGAGCGATGGCAACCTCCCTTAGCCTGTTATGACAGGTTCCCTTTAAGCTGAAATTTAAGCAAGAAGTGGCTGTGCTGGTTCCTGCAATGTTACCGGGGAGGCACAGATGCTGGCTTGTGATCTCTGGGGATGTTTCATGCACTGCAGCTTTGACAGTTACACATTTCAGGCAGGGAGATTGATGGTAGGTGTCAGGAGATGGAAATCAAAGCCACACACCGAGGAAGCATGACACAGGTCCTACATGGGGGCTCGATAAAATGCTTTCTGACTACCGACGATTGCTATGATCCAGTGACGTGCTGGGTGAGGCACCCCTCCATCCCGCCAAAGCTCCTCCCGTCCAGCCGAAGCTCCGCCCTGTTTAATTGAAGCCCCACCCCCAGCTTGGTAACCAAGCTGTCCCTCACTGTTTTTTTTTTATTGGACAGCTTGGACCCATGGCGCTTTGCCATTGGTCCAAGCCATCCACAGAGCTCAGGCCTCTAACACAGAGTAGAGGCTGTGACAGCTCTTGCCTCACCAAGTTAGGTTACACTAGCAGTGGGGAAGCCCGCCGCTGTGCAACCTAACTACCTGTCAGGAGCCGGATGCAGCGCCGCCTGTAATTAGGAGGCAGCGACAGGTGACACAGCGGGGAGGAGGGGGGGGGGAGGCTTTCGCTGCTGTGTAACCTGATAGAAGCCGATCTGAATGGAGAAAAAGCCGTCAGCTTCTCTTCATAATACTACGTGAGGCCAGTGGCGTCACAAGGGGGGTGCGCCCCACCATTGGAGGGGCGACACCAAAATGACCGACAGTTATTTTGGTGTCACCCCTTATGAAATGTCGGGCACTCGGTCACGGCCCGAGAGCCCGGCAGTGTCAGGAGAGAGGAGGGGACCCGGCGGCATACCTCATCCCGCCGGGTGAACGTTCCCTCCTCTCTCTGCCGGCGGCCATCTTGGTGTCAAAAAAATGACGTCATCGTGCACGCACGGCAACATCACGCGCGTCCCCGCCCCCAGGTGACGCCCAGCCTCCCCTGACCGCACGTCCCTGCTATGACCCGGCAATATCTCCCGCCGTCTGCGGCATCTGGGCACTCACGGGTAGTTTGGCGTCCTGTCCGCGGTCGGCCGGGGTGAAGACATTGAGGTAGAGACAGTCCTCGGATATGGGCGGGATCACAAATTTGGCTTTGACCACGTCTATGATAGTTTTCATCATGGCCGGGTCCTGCACACACCTGTGAAAGGAAGAATACAGATATCGGATTAGAGGGGAGGAG